CGTTGAATAAGAAATGTTTCTTTCACAAGAAATGTATAAAATTACAGTACTGTATTAGACTTACGGTACCTAATTTACATACTGTACAGACGATAGCTCGCCTAAACTCTCCATAGCGTGGCGCTAGACGGTGGAAACTATACATATAATTATAATAAAGTTAAAATAAATTAAGTTAATATATAATTATATATACAGTACCTAATTTCAGTACCTAATATACAGTATTATATATATAATTAATATATAATTATATGTACAGTACCTAATTTATATATAATTTATATGTAATACTGTACAGACGATAGTTAAACTCAACTTACCCGCCTAAACTCTCTGTAGCATGGCGCTAGATGGCGGAAAATAGTTTGGCTGCTCGTCCGTGATGACGAGTTGGCGATGACGCTTTACCGCGTCCCTTTTAGCATCTTTGTACGAATACTGACGCAATTTTTTTGCCACGTCATAGGAATCTACGTTATTGGAACCTGCGTTATAGGGGGGGTCTACTGTAGTGCCATCTTCATCCAATGAGTATTTGTGAATAGATTTTCCATATAATTATTAAATAGAGAACTACTGGTATCTGTGTTACTAAATATATAGTTTGCATTGCAGATGAATATATATATATATATATGTCTTATTGACTGAGATCGTGCATTTTAGTGTCCATGAAATTGAAGTTAACAAATACAGTACTAGTGCTAAATCAAAGTTTGACTGTATTTGTAAATCTATATGTTTAAATTCAAAATTTGAATTATATTAATAATTTTTATCATTTTATTTTTCTTCAACAGCAAAATAAAAGCTTTGTGCTTTAATATTTATGTATATACTAAAAATAGTTAGTTAATTACTGTTACTTTGGTTTAGTTCAGCTTCTAAATATCTGTATAGTTTCCAAACATTGACTACACTTTACAGCTTAGTACTTCAGATACTTCACTTTACAATACATTTCTAATATGGTGCTTTTCAGTTATATTTATTTTTATTATTTTCAGTGCTTGCCTTGTGCTTGAGGATTTTATTTATTATTTTTTCTTTTGCATTAATTGTTTAGACCTAGTGCTTGTACTTAATAAATAATAGTATAAATATGTTGTAAGCCTTATATATGCATTAGCAAGTGAAAAGAGAAGCTGTTTCTCTTTTTAAAGTGATATTTGCTTTATGGCAGTGGCTTGGAACTTAACTTACCATATTGTGATATATGCCTGTATTATAATTCTAATTGATGTAATTTTAAACATTTGAATTTAAGTTTTAATGACAATAAAGATACCTGAATGTATGATGCGTGCACAAATATACAAAATATTTTTTTTAAATGACTAATAAGTTAGAACAAATATTAATTTTAAAAGTTTTCATGGTAATACAAGATTGTTTAAATTTAATATTAAAAGGTCATAAATATTATTTATAAGTACTCTATATGATTGTACTGGAATAATTAATTAGAATTTAATTGAAATTAAATTAATATGAATTTTACTTAGTAAAAAATACTGTATATTTACAATTGGTAATTAAAAATATGTTAATAAATTTTTTATCTTAATTAATTAATTTTTAATAAATATTGTAAAACTATTTCTTGTAACCAGAATGGTTCGTACTCAATTAGAAGAAGAAGTAGAAATAGAAGGAACTGGAGGACAAATAGAACCTATGATTACTATTGAAGAAGAGGAAGATGTTTTTTTATTTTGGGATAATGGAATGAAAGGTAAAAGTATTAGAGAACTTGCTGCTGGTAGTCTTGAAGATAATAAAGAAGATAAAAACATTTTGGAATATTATAGGTATATAAAACATTTCAGCAATTCTTAAATGTAACTTTTAGAAGAAACCAATAATTTTTGATCTTTTATTTTAAAGGCATCAACTGGATCTTTTCTCTGGAATGTGTTTGGATAGACAATATCTTGCTATAAATAATCTCTCTCCTCATCTTGATATTGACCTTATACAAAAGTAAGTTTATGCATTTAGTTACTTCTAATTTGAATTTCAAATATTATTCATTTAAACTCTGAATTGGGTTTTTATATTAATTGTAATTGTGTAAAATATGGACACAGGATTTCATCCTAACAGAAAACTATATGATGTTTTTGTCAAAAATGTGCAAAATAATTAATAAATATACTATTTTTTTAAATACTATATGCATTTTTGCTCTTAACACTTATAAAAAATTCATTTTGTATCATTTATGAAATATTTAATACTGCTCTTAAAATATCAATTAATATTTATAGTATTAATGTAAATTTTATTTAAATATCTTAAACTTAATAACATTCCTCAGCTGTACTTAATATTATTTATATTAAGTATAGGTGATGTCATGTAACATTTTTCAGCTTTATTTAAGCTGAAAAATGTTATATGACCTTTTTGACAGTAATTTGCAGAATATGTTCACTTACTAATAGAAAGTGTTGGAATTGTTTTTCTAATTGAAAATATTTATAGTTGAAGAACACTAGAACAATTAATGTAACAAGTTACTAGAATTATATAAAAATCAATAACTTTATCTGTGATTTTATGCTTTTTATATTTTTTTTCTAATTGATTAATACCTAAATACTATAAATATTGCTACTGCCAATTAATTTAATTGATAGTAAAATGAATTTCCAATAATTTAACATCTTATTTAATTTCATTAAATAATAAATGTCAAAGATTAAGTGAATTGATGATAAAAAAAAAAAAACAGAAAAGGAAATGAATAGATTAGATTGTGAAGTTTAAGTGATATCTGAATTGAGCTAATAAATTTATACATAATTAGATAGTTTTTTCTAGAACTGTTAACTAATTGCATTAACATAAATTTTTATTAAATGAATGGTTAATGTTTGTATGGAAAAAATTGGTTTAGAATGATGCAATTTGAACATTCATTAAACTACAATGGTCTGATAATGGAATGACAAGTATTTAAAAAATGTTAACCATTTATTTAATAAAAATTCAACTGAAATATAATTTGAAATTCTGTGTTTCTCAAAGAATGTGTGATTGTCTCAAATTGATTCTTGTGTCTTTTACATGTGTGCTGTTGATTTGGCATTAAAATCTACATTTATACTTAAAATTTATTAGTCTTCTTTATTCATTCTTAATTCTTTATGAGCTTTCAGATAGTGTCACAATTTCATTTTAAATATTAATACTTCATGTTGTTGTCTTGGCTATATATTTTTGTTTTGACTGAATTTAATGACAAAATTGAAATCTGTTGTTTTAACTCAGTGGTTTCCAAAGTAGGTGGTAAGTAAATCTAGGGAGATGAAAAGGAGCATGTGGGCAGTAGGGAGCACTAGAGGTGGTTACTAAATGGTGACCATAAGTGAGGATTGGGGTCATCAGTGACAATCTTTTCCTTTCCTCCGTTAAAATGAGTAAGAAGAAATATTGTGTTTAAAGGTTTCCAGATATGGAGAACAACAAGATACGGTAAGGACACAGTGTGAGGTCCATACAAAGGTTTTTCTAAGAATATTTCCAAGCCTTTCTCACTCAAAGGAAAATGGATTAGGGGAGTTTGGTATAAGTTTATGGAACCAAGGAGACGGTGACTCAAAAATGTTTGGGAATCAGTTTTAACTTATGAAACTACATTTTCAAATAAAGATAAATTTTTCTGCCAATAGAGTTAAACAGAGTTGTAAATATTTTTTTTTTTAATTTTAATATGAAATAGTTAATAAGTCTAAAAATATGATTATTGTGTCTTCTAAAAGATTAACCTAATATTAATTGTAAATATTAAGTAAAGAGTTAAGTTAAAAATCAAATTAAAATATGAAATAATTAATTTAAATAAATTTATTAATAATTTCATTTTTCAATCACAAGATGTATGGCTGACGAAACCTTACCTTTTGATCTGCGTGCTGCATTCTGCCGTTTAATGTTACATATGCATGTAGATAGAGATCCACAAGAACAAATAACACCAGTGAAGTATGCTCGACTTTGGTCGGATATTCCAAGTAAATTATCCATTCAAGAGTGAGTAATTTCTTAAATTATTTTAAATTAAATATCAAACTTTTTCAATAATAACAAGAAACTCTGATATTAATATATTTAAAGATATATTAATTAAAAAATTATTTTATATCTACAATTAAATCATTCTATTAGATATCTATTCAAAAGACATTTATTATTTTAATTATAAATAATATAGATTCATTAATTAAGGCAGTATATTTTTGTAGTATGTTTTCAATAAATTTTGGTTCTTTTTATTTAACCTATGGGTAATCTATTTTTTTTTATCATAATTATTTTTATCATTATTATTTTATGTCATATGGATTTAATTTTTTTTTTAAATTTCAAATATAGTCTGATTAAAATTAGTTAATCATTTAGTTAGGAAATGTTATATGCTATGGAACATACATGACCTGGCAAAATTCTGCTATCAAACATCAAACATTATTTTGGTCTAAAAAGTGGTTTAAATTTTTTTGAACATTTCTTGGTTACTTTTAGGAAAAAATATCCAGCAACAAATTGTGTAACTCTCCCAGCAAGAGTTAAAAACTGTGTGCATCTATTATGAGACTATTTTTAAAAGTTTTTATATTATTAATTATTATAAAATGGAAAAAACTTGATTTTGAAACTAGAGATGAGTTTCATAAAAAATTGTAAGTGCTAATAATGAGTAAAATCTTCATTAAGTTTGTTTCCACTAGAAATATGACACATGACTCTTCTTTATCTCTCCACCCTTGACCATTAATAATCACCAAAATTTAATAGCATCAATTCCCTAATACACAAACCTTTCTAGAAATTTCAGAAATTCTCAACAAAAGGCATAGAAGTTAAACTTCAAAGCGGATCATTTTTTGACTGATACCATACTTTCCCTCTGTTATATATAACATCCTGGAAAGTAAAAATAAATTTTGAATATCTGACAGTGGTTTGTGTTTGTCTAGTAGATAGATTTTTGGAGTACAAAATTATGAACTACAGATTAAATTGCATTGAAGTTATTTATTTTTGTATTTTTTGTTTACTTTTGCTTTTTAATTTTTATTAATTTAAAATAGAAAATAACAATTTTTAAATATAACAGCTATCATGTTATTAGAAAAACATAAGGATAGATTCTTCACAACTACTTCTGTTTTAAGTTTTTCCTCCTTATGAGAAAAGATTAAAGAAGAAAATGCTATGAAAAATTTTCAAAGATGGGCAAAAACTAAATGAGACAGATTTATACTATTTACTTTATCTGATATCTTTACAATAGGTTACTTATTTATAAAGTTAATCTGATAAAAGTTGATCAGTAATTATTAGATTTTACAACCAAACTTTGCTGCCTTATTTCCTGAAATTACATTTGGTTGATCTAAAACTTCTTATTTTCAAATTGTTATTTAAAATTGTTAAGATGTTAAATTTCATTNCTGAATAAAGAATATATTATTTCTTCATATTTAGGTGGTGAAACTTGCTCGAGAATTGATCTATTTTGGTTTTTATAGTTTTAGTGATCTTCTAAGACTTACTAAAACATTATTAAGCATATTGGATTGTGTACCAGAATCAAGCTTTTTAAATGGAAAAATGTCAGCAGGAGAATTGGATGGTATGTTAATTATTAAATATTGGTTATATTCATTTTACCATTAATTAATCTTTATGAACATTATTATTATTATATCAAAGTTTTTAAATATAAATATAGTTTAATTTCTTTTCATATTTAATAGAATTAATTTTTCAATAGGAAATGATAGAAAGGCTGTTTATCTTCATTTACATAAAATGCAAATGTTATTTATCTGTAATTTTTAAATAAAGATTTGTCTTTTACATTTTTAAAATAAGTTCAGTAATTAAAAATTAGTTTTTAATTTTTTTTTTTTTTTGTTTTTAAAATATCTAACAAAATTTTAAAATTGAGTGTATATTGGTATCATAAACACATTTTAAATTATTGAAGTAAATAAAATTTTTTTATAGCTATGATTCCAATAAACATCCAGATCCAAACAAAGAAGCAGTTAGACGAAAATTTACTCCAACTATTACTTTTGTAGAAGATTACCTTTGTAATGTTGTGGGTCACATGTGGTCTTTTGCTGACCATGAACAAAATAAACTAACTTATGAGGTAAGTTAATTGTATTAATTTTATATTTATTAAAAATGTTTTACATAAAATAATTTGGCAGATTACTGATAACATAACAAAAAAAAAATGTTTGACATCCCATTATTTTGAAGCTTTATTCTTTCATCTTAAGTCAAATCGGCATCATTTTATAAATTAAATATATTTTAAATTGGCAATTAAAATTATATTTTCAAAATCTGGTTCTATGGTTTAGTGAAAATGTTTGAACATACTAATTTGTGTCTAAATTTGAATTTAAAGACTTTTAATGGCATGTTTTATATTCCAGAAGTTTTGTTCAAAAACAAATTTCTTTTGTTTCAAGATTAGAAAGTGTGAAGATGATGCCTAAGCACAGTATTAAAAACATTAATCTGTAAATATTGTAAATTTGATTTTGGAATTGAAAATTTGATTTTCTTTTTAAATGAACTTTTTGATATGATCTATAAAATAATAAGTGATGCCAATGTAATTATATTCAATACAAATGTAAAGGAGAGAGAATTAGATAATATTTAGGAAAATTGTGTCAAAAATTGCATGATGACACAATTTTGCAACATTTAAAAATGTTGAAAAAAATAAAATTATTTTGGATAACTTTTTATCAGGCTTTTATGATATAAGAATTATGATATATTCATTTGAATGGAAAATAATTGATTATTTAATTGTCAGAATCATTCACTTACTAATAAACATTCCTTCAACTTTGTCATCTACATTGATAATGAATCATTAATTTGAACTGTTACTTCAGGTAAAAAACAGAAGTGATGCATTCAAATTGTTTGTTATGGATGTAGACACAGAGGTTAAGTGTTTAAAGAGTGTTGATTGCTCTATTAGTTTTGTAGTTTGTTGTTTGATTCATTTACAATGTTCCAATTCACTGTCAAATTTAAAGCATTGATCATTGTGTTAACTGTTAGTTTTGGAGTTGGAATTTTTTGTGGATTCTCACTACACTCTTATATATTGTAAAATTCATTTTATTGTAAAAAGTAAGTAGATTTCTCTCTTTTTTTGAGTAAATTTTTGTTTATATTAACTTTATAGTATTGTTTTATTATTATGTTTTTTATTATTTTATAATATTTCAAAATAATATTTATACATTTAATTTAAACTTTTATTCAATTCTATAACATTTGGAATTCATATTCTGTTTTTAAGAATTCTGTATAAATTTCAGCTGTCTAAAACTGCTAAAAATATTTCTTGAAAAAACAAATTTGGATACCCAAAAAAGCTGTCTGGATTTCTGAAGAGTGGTTCAACTTCTATCCAGGATTTCAGTAATGGTAATGGAACTGTGTGTGTTACATGGTCCCAATTTATTTATATTTTTCTAGGTACTCCCCTCCACACACTGACACTTCTCCAATCATTTTGGCAATGATGCTATGCTTGCAGAATAGAAGTATTTTGATTGATGTCAGAGCAACTGCATGACAAACTTTCTGACTTCAGGGTTCTTCATGCAGTGGCTCTTGTTTTCCAAGACTTCCTTTAAAGAGTGAAACAGGTAATAATCAAATGGTGACAGATCCAGACTGTAGGCTAGGTGTTCCAGAATTTTTTAAATCAAGTTCATTGATTGCTTTCACCATGTGCAAGGCCATGTTTCACTTCTATTTGACAGGCATATCATCATTGCCAAAATGATGGGAGAAGTGTCAATATAAGGAAGGGAAATATCTGAGGAAAAAATACATAAATTGGGACTATATAACAGACACAGCTCCATCACCATTACTGAAATTTTGGATAGAAATTGAACTGCTCTAGTATTTTGTACAAAATGATGCAATTATTTACATTTCAGATTGAGTAATTATGTTGAATATAATTGTATATATTCAAAAAAGCATTTTGAATATATACAAGCAGTATAAATGCTTTTTTTAAAGCATTTTGTTTTTATTTGGAATAAATGATTATGTAGGATTTTGAATATATTTTTCTATGGAAATAAATACAAGCTTAATTCTTTAGATTTAAGTAAGTTCTTATTTCTTGTAAAATATATGATTACAGAAATAATAATGCATTAATTTCATAAAACTAAAAATTATAATTTATATATTAGGTACCTGATAAAAGAATATATTATTTCTTCATATTTAGGTGGTGAAACTTGCTCGAGAATTGATCTATTTTGGTTTTTATAGTTTTAGTGATCTTCTAAGACTTACTAAAACATTATTAAGCATATTGGATTGTGTACCAGAATCAAGCTTTTTAAATGGAAAAATGTCAGCAGGAGAATTGGATGGTATGTTAATTATTAAATATTGGTTATATTCATTTTACCATTAATTAATCTTTATGAACATTATTATTATTATATCAAAGTTTTTAAATATAAATATAGTTTAATTTCTTTTCATATTTAATAGAATTAATTTTTCAATAGGAAATGATAGAATCAAATTAAAGATTATCAAAATTTTTATCCTTTGGATGTATAAAAATATATTCTTATATTAAATAGATTGAATTAATCATAAGACACAATATGTTTGCATTTTTATACATTCTTATGTTGAAACTTTATACAGTGGTACCTCATATATTGTATGTTCCAAAGTTTGAATGCTAAATTCAGACTCAGAATTCAAAAAGTACTTCTATGTTTGAACTGTGTTCACAGAGAAAAAATATGCTCACTGCATAAACGCCATTTATCGTACAACCAAGTTGTCTTTCATTCTTGCTCTCACTGTGAAAGCATCTCAAGTTATGCTCATGTATTTTTAGTGCTTTTTTGCTTTATTTTTGATATATTTAATCATACCTATTAACCATGCATTCAAGATTAATGTGAAAGCAACAAAGCTTAAGGAAAATATTGAAGTATTAATGATTGAGGTGTAAAAGGCAAATCATGAAGCATGAAAGTAGTACATGTGTGGTGGATCTGGTAGCACTGTTTAAGATGCCAAACTTGACTGCATGCACCATTCTTAAGAACAAGGAAGCAATAAAAGTGGCAAATGTGGCTAAAGGTGTGACAATACAGACTTCAGGAGATTGCATGTTATTGTAAACATGGAAAAACTTCTCCTAGTGTGGATAAATGAAAAGCAATTGGCTGGTGTTATCATCTCTGAGAGGATTATTTGTGAGAAAGCCAAGCAACTGCCTAGTGAGTTGTCCTTAAGAAACTGGACATCATCACTCCTAACTAAAATACAGGAAATGCAATTTTCATTTTATTATACAGAATTTATATGTTTTATTTATTTATTGTTTCCATGTTTTAATTTGTTATCTAGGGATTTAATTGTGTTATTTTTACTTTAAGTTTGTGTATTTGCTGTTTACGTTTATCAAAATGGACACTTTTTTGGGTCTAGAATGGATTAATTCATGTTCCATTATTTATAATTGGAAAAATTGATTTCGACTTTGAATATTTTAGAGTTTGAACAGCCTCCTGGAACAAATTAAATTTGAAGCATGAGGCACCACTGTATTTTATATTTGCTGAATATTTTTATTTAATTTAATATTACAAAGTAATTATTTCATTCTTGAAAATATTAAGATATTACATCTTAAAGCTTAAAAATATTTTGAATTATTTTACCAAGAGCTGGTTGCACAAGTTTTAATCCCAAGATTAAATGCACTTTAATCAATGGAATTAACCTTGACACATTGCACAAGTGTCAATTTTTACAATGAATTGTTAACTAAGTTAATTGGCTTAAGATGCAATTAACTTAGTTGACAGCATTAACCCTGTTTATGCTAATTCTGACAGAATATTTTAAAAAGATTAAATCCTGAAATGCTGTACATAGTTACAGTGGTTATAAATTCCAAGAATCAATTTTGATTTAAAAAGTAATGGATTTATTTTAATTGTCAGAATTAAGTGAATTTTATTTTATATAACATAACAATAAATCATTTCTCATTGTAAAATTTATATACTTAAATATTATATCAATAGATAGTATGATAGTATCTACCAAATCTGTTAACCAAGGTATCAAAATCATATAGCAAAAGCCCAAGAATGTATGAAAGCAGGGGACAACCCTTACTATGCTAGAATCTACAGACAGATACAATATCTGATGAGAATATTTTTCTCACTGATTCCTTTAATAATGTGATACATTTAGTATAAGAAAGGAATCCTTCTTACATGTTATCACTAAAACATAATTAATCCAGGCAGTGGCAGTCTTTATTTTGTTTTTACAAATGCATCAGAAATCTATTTTGTCCTATCATATGCCATTTGGGATTCTCCAACATGACAGGTAGACAGGGAGAGACCCTGCATGTAGAAACACAGTTAACTATTTACAGTGATCAAAAGTGAGTTGTTAATTGGTTTTATTTAACTTAAGTTTGTTCAAGTCATCATCAAAACAGCAATTAACATACAAAAAATTGTACAGTAGAGCATCAGTTATCTGAAAAATCAGTTAACCAAAATTGACTTCAGAGAGTACTAATTACAGAAATTGAAGTATTTACATAACAATTGTCAGAAATCTTCTGTAAGCCCACTTTTGAGCTATTTCATTATCAACACTAGTGTTAGGTTTTATTTATCACAGTACAAATAAAAAAAATGATTAATTTTTATGCTTTGATCATTTCTTACTATTCTACTAGAATTAAATACCTTAAATAAAGTAAAAGTATTAATTTTATCTTTTTATTAATTCCCTACCAAGTATGTTAAGTTATCCAAAATTTTCCTGCTCCAATTATTTCAGATAATCAATACACTATTGTATTTGTTTATTATTGCTATTTGTATTTAGAATATACATAGTTTAAAATTAAATTTTAAAAAATTTTGAACATATAAAAACAAAGACTTAATGATTGTAAATACACGAATTCACCATATACAAATAATGCAACCCCTGTGTACTTATTATTCGAGGACCAGCATGCTAGTAAATAATATAAATTCAATGTGTGTTAGTGTTGCCATGCTCCTCATACAAGTAACATCAGGCATATGATAATGTGTTACTGTCCTTAAAATTGATGCACTTCACCCATCAGGACAGTCTTGTATATTTCTAGGGCCTCCAGAGCCCTAATATGGTCAGTATGAAAGGCCTGTTTTATTATCCTGGTGTTAGGAAGGTCCACGCAAACTTCTGGGTTGGTGGCATATGTGGCAGATCCTGAACAACAAAGTAGAAGTTTTAGTGATATATGCTACTATTTTAATCAATGTGTGGTTCCATTCCTCATTTTTGGTTGTGCCAATCACAAATTTCAGATGTTGTGTATTGCCAATCATGCAAGCTGTTTCCAAATATTCAGTGTTATTCTGGACTATGAGATTGCAAAAAGCATTATATATAGTAGTTATAACATGTTATGTAGTCTTTCTTTTAAATTTTCCTAATTGGCTGCAATTTGGAAAAATTGTAGACCTATAAATTCCCACTGTTGTCTGTCTTCTCTTAATCTTGAGAACAAAGTTAGATAGATGAAAGACAAGACCAGATATGGAAATCTTAGGGGCAGGAGGCCCCAATTAACTATATATAAACTTCTGGTGCAAACTGGAAGTCATGTTATTTCAGTTCAAAAATTTTTCCCCAAAGGATGTTAGAAAGATGACCAGCACAGCTCTGTTGTTAAAGGAAAAGTATGATGTACAGGGGCAAGACACTGCTAATTTAAGGTGCAGAGCACATATTTTAAATTAAATAAATTAAAAATATAATTAAAAATTGTAATCTGGTATTGTGAAGATGTCACAATAAATAACTGCTCAATGACTAATTTTTTTAATATGTTATTTTTTTATATTTTTTTTTTGTACTTTTTATAACAAAACATAAGTGTATTTTTATCTTTGTTACTTATCATGTAGATCAGAAGTTGACATCCTTTTACGATTGCAGCCAAAATAAAATAATGTAATGTTGTTGTAAAATAAAGCATGTCAGCTTTATTTTACAAAAAAAAATTTTTGCATAATTTTCTAAGATTCAAGGAAAACAACTGTATCTAGATATCAAATAACTTGTTCTAACAAAATGTTTTTAAAACATTTTAAAACTATAGAAATAAATTAATACTTTTATTTTATGATTATTAATAGTTATTAATACAAATCAACTTTCTCATAATTCCCTTTCCCATTTCCCATAAATTTGAAAAAAAAGAATATTAATGATAAACAGTTAAGATAAATATTAATATTAATTATTGATAAACAGTTTCATGTTACTGTTTTTATTGTATTATCAGAGAGCTTGTTAAAGTCATTACTCTTTTTATTTTCATTTGATAATGATTAATATTGGTTTCTTGAAGATGTTTTAAAGCAAACAATGATTAACAATGAAATAAAAGAGAGTTTTCTTCCTTCCTTATGCCTTTCCTTTGTAATTTTTTATTTTATGTTTGATGTTACTTTTCCACATGATTTCACATTATTTTTTCACATTTTCAATATTATGTCTCTACTCTGTAATTGTTAAGACATACAGTAATACTCCAAACTTACGCGATAAGTGGGACCAAGTGATAACCAGTGATAAGTGGGACCAAGTGATAAGTCGAATTCGCATAAGTCAGGGTATAATTTCTCAATTTGTGTAAAATCCAAGTCGGATGTACGTAAGCTAATAAATGTTCTCGTTAACCTTATCTCGTCTTTTGATTCATTCATTGTTACAAGAAATCACCACATAGAGTCTCTCGAGTCTCCATAGATATAACAAATACAGAAATAAATAACACAAAATAGCTATGTGTTGGTTCCGCGCGACACGTCCGAACATGTAAGCCGAACAATAGTGCGGGGGGAATGAGTAATCAAGAGTTGCGTGGCACTCAAACAAAAGACGAATCGACGAGATTTGAAAATCGCGTAACTCCGGGTTCGTGTAAGTCGGGGTAGCGTAAGTCAAGGTATTACTGTATTTGAGCTGCACAATTTGCCAAATCAATTAATTCCACAAAACTATATTTTTTATATAGAAATTGATAATATAAATTATTTTTAAATTATCTCTATACAGTAAAATTTTAATAAACATTGTAGAATGTATGCAACATATAAACTTAGTTATGCAAAAAATTGTAAAAATAATAACAATTATTCCAAGGATACACTAAGGGAGTTAATTGATTTGACCTGTAAATAGCTCATTTGTTAAAAAGTAATTAACAAAAGTATTCTTGGTTTTATTAACAATAATATTTTTAGTTCTATTCAGAAAAAAATTTTGTTTTAATTGAATAAATTGCAAATTGATTAGACCAGGCAAGTTTAAAAGTTAGAAATTGTATTATTATAACTATAAAATTTAATTATTAAAATATAATTATTAATTTCTGTTGTAATATTCTAAATTTCTAATTCTTAGGTGTTAATATATAATATTTGCCATTTCAAAATTTATAATCTCAATACAATAAAACATCTGATTATTTTTTATTCTTACCACATGCATATATTTCTGTTTTCTGTCTATTTTTATTATATGAATACATAACAACATATATAAAAGTATATTGTAGATTTTATAAATTTTAATTCAATTCCTATTTTAAAAAATTTAAGATTATTTAAATTATATGTAAAATAATAGGAGTGAATTTAAATAATATCAATGATTTTTCAGTATTTATTTTGACTATTTGAATGGTTAGTTTCTAAAAGTAATTATTTGTCAGTTATACCAAAGGCATACTATCCTATTTTTACAAGCTGCCTCAAAAGATATGAATGAAAGAAAAGAAGAAGAACCTGATAAGGCTAAAGGTGAGGGGTATTATTACCTCAAAACCACAGAAAGTCACATGCATGGATTTACTTACTAATGAATTACAATGTTTTTATAAAGTTCATTTGAATCACTTTAATTATATTTTTGTTATAAGAGGCATGGTGATGCTTAGAAGTATATTGCATGTATTATGTTATTCAAATTCTGTATATTAAATTGATGCATTGGAACTGTAAATTTTTATTTGAATTCTGTTAATTTTATAAATTTTGTTTATTTTGTAATTGTTACGAATAATATAATTATGTTTAATATAATAGAAAATTAAGTTTGTTATAAATACTAATATTAAGACTTATAATGAAAGCTAAGTGAACTGCCAAATTATTGGGCTATTATATGGTTATATGTAATTAACATAACCTGATAATTTGACAGTTTATTTAGCTTTAATTTGAAAATCAAGTTTTTGAGTTGATGTTCATATATACAGGTATTCCTCGTATAACATGATAATTACGCTCCTAAAAAGTGTTGTGTTATTTGAATCTCTGCTATATGGAACAAAGGACTAATGCAAAACATACGTTTAGGTTCCAGAAGTTAGCAAAAGTATACTATTCTTTTTAATTACTACGAGAATTGTGTTTATTAAAGCAATTGATAACTTATTTCAATCAATAATTAATAAACAATTGCAATTAAAAGTACCATGTTATGCACTAATATTAATTTTAGTTAAACAAGGGTATTTTTTTTTACAAAGTATTGTTGTCGTCATAGCTTTTTTGTTGATCTTGATCAGAAGTATCAGCAACATTTTCATAGTTTTTACTTTTGTCATAAAACATTTTTATGGATGATGAAATAAAAATATGTTATTAATTGAAAATTTGTTGTAGCTGTTGCATTTGTTCAGTCGAGTATCTTGCAACTTTTTTCCAAGAATTTGTGTTTGAATATAAAATTGTTCAAGTACTGAGATACCGCCATATTTCATTCATTTTACAAATGGTTGCTAATCTACGGTTAAAAAAAAAGTTTAATAAAACCTATCTAAAACTATTTAAATAAATTTTACTAAATACAAAGATTAATCTATAAAAATAAAATACAGTGACAGTCTTAAGGGCTAAAGTCTGAAAGAAATGATGACAACACCCAATTGATAGGAAAGTTAGTGCAAGGAAGAAAAATTCTACTATCAGTTTTCATTAAAGTAAACTTGACAAAAAGCACAAAATAATTTGAAAATTTCAAATATTCTAAAATTCATGGGCAAATTTGCGACAACACTCGTGCTTATTTGAATAAAATAAACATTGAATAATGAAGTTTACATTTTAAAATTTTGTATGGAGGATTTCCAAGACTGTGTTAGAGCGAAATGGGAAGTTGTGTTGTACGGGGAATATTCCCAGTTTTCAAATAGAAGTACTGTGTTATACAAGGGATACCTGTACTTATTATTACTATTTATAACAAAGCTGAATGAACGAAAACTATTTGTTTTGAGTGTGAAATTGTTTGAAAATAAATTTATTATAAAAATGTAATAAATTGTATACTTATATTTCAGTTACTTAATTCAGTTCATTTAGTTACTGACTTCAAAAAAATTAATAATGTATTGATTAATAAAAAATTATTAAGTTTAATGAAATCTTAACAATAACTCAGATTGCCTTAAAATTGATATGCAAATTTAAAACTTAAAATAATTATACATTGCTTTGAAATTAAAAGAAAATTCAAACTGCATTTCCAGAGAATGGTATAGTGCAGGGGTCGGCAACCTGCGGCTCACGAGCCACATGCGGCTCTTTGGATGTGAAGCTGCGGCTCTTTAGTTCCATATGCAAATATTATTTATTTTATCAAAAAAAAAAAAAAATTTAAAAATCGTTCTGAATCGATTAACGAGGATTAGGCACTGATTCTATCTCTCAGCCACTTGTACTCGCTTTTCACCGCACCCCTCCCCCGTGACACGCGTCGTCACTGTCGTCAGTCCGTTGGAAGCTCTCGAATGACGCCGTC